GCCTCGCCTGGGAAGAGCGCAATGATGGTGCCAACTTGGGCCAGTGAAGCGACGTCCTCCACAACTAGACTGAAGAACAAAACGACAGCAACTTGTCTGCTCCCCTTCCCCCAATTCCCCAATAAAAAATCTTTAAAAAAAAAAGTTTTATGAATAATATTCCAAAACATATGGATATAGCACATTCTGTTTATCCATTTATCTGATGGACATTTGGGTTGTTTCTGCTTTTTGGCTCTTCTGAATATTACTGCTATGAACACTGGTGCACAAGTTTTTGTATGGACACGGTTTCATTTCTGTTAGGTAGATATCAGCGGAATTGCTGGGTCATAAGGAAACTATGTTTAACCTTTTGAGGAAATGCCAAACTGTTTTCCAAAGCAGCTCACCATTTTACAAGACCACCATCAAAGTATAAGGGTACCAATTTCTCCACATCGTTACCAACACTTGATGTTGTCTTTTTTCTTCTAGGGATCTGAGCAGGTGTGAAGTGGTATCTCATTGTGATTTTGATTTATATTTCCCTAATGACTAATGCTTACTTTGGTTCAGTCATCAATTCAAATGGAGACTGCAGCCAAGAAATCAAGAGAAGGCTGAGACTCAGAAGGGCAGCAATGGAAGAATTAGGAAAGATTACCAAGAGCAAAGACGTGTCATTAGAGACCAAGGTTAAGGTCATCTACACCCTTGTAGTCTCAATTACTATGTACAGATGCAAAAATTGTACAGTGAATAAGGCTAATAGGAAAAAAAATGATTCATTTGAAATACGGTGTTGGAGCAGAGCACTATGAATACCCTGGACAACCAGAAAGATGAACAAGTGGGTCCCAAAGCAAATTAAGACTGAAATATCGTTGGAGGCGAAAATGACAAAACTGAAACTGTCCTTTGGCCACATCATGAGAAGGCAGGGTTCTTTGGAAAAGACAATAATGCTGAGAAAAATATAAAGCAGCAGGAAAAGAGGAAGACCAAATATGAGATGGATTGATTCCATAAAAGAAGCCAAAGGCATGAGTCTATGTGTTGTGCAGGGCTGTTGAGGATAAGACATTGTGGAACTCGCTCATTCATAGGGTCACCAGCAGTCAGAGCCAACTCAACAGCACGTGATGCACATGATGACTAATGAAGTTGAGCAACAAGATAAAATTGTTTATCATCTCTAGAAGAATACCCCAAATTAGTAATAGCAGTTGCCTCTGGGGAGAAGAAATGAGAGACTAAATTCCTAATGGTTAAAAGGCTTCCTTTCCACTATGTAATCTTTTGGATTTTTTTAGTCACATGCATCTATTAAAAAAAAAAAAGTCAAGCTGTCTGTTCCTCTGGGGATAATGGAAAGGCACTGTGGTACCCATGAACCCCTGGAATTCATATACAGAGTTGTATATGTTTGTATTACAATTTGCTGAGGGGAGAAGGTCCGTATCTTTCATCAGATTCTCAGTGAATCTCTCCAGAAATCTATGAAGACCTAGTCTGAAAATGCATGTCTGGATAAGCAGTACCCTATTGACATCTGCCCTCTGTTGCCCAAACAGCCCTGGAAACACCCTGCTCACAATTGTAAGGTACTTACCACATGCCAGGTCCTGCTTTGGGCATGTGACACATACTTTTGTTGAATCCTCAAAGCCACCAGAGCTTAAGATAGGGGTGTCAGTACAGATCACTGTCCGCCTGGGCTGGAGCCCACCTGGCTTTGTTACATATCAGTACAAAGCTGACCTTGCTGAGGGCTGTTGACTGCTTACAGCATACAGAGTCTGCCCCTTGCCCTGACAACAAACCTAGGAAACAGGTACTTTTTATTCTCCCCATTTGTATAGATGAAGAAATAGAGGCTCAGAGTAACTCCCTAATTTGGCCGAAGATCATGCAGCTACTCACAGCCAACATTTACAGCCAGTGCCCAACCTCTTAGCCACCCCATGATACTCTGCTCATGGATGCAGAATTTACTCTCCAGGTAAATTCATCTGGACACAAAACTAATTACAAGGTTATCTGTTGACTTTATCAATGTATTTTTATTTTACAAAAATAAAAAGGGAAAAATCACTATAGTAGGATTACTTAAAATAGGGCACACTGAATTTAAAATAAAAGTTGTTTCACAAACATTATCTGCAAAATGACTTTTCAGAAATATAGCCACTGCATAAACATTAGGTACATGGCCGAAATCTAAGTTTAATGTCTTTTTATTTATTTTATAAAACAGGACAAGTACATTTTCAAAATACAGTACTTCTGTAGCCATGTCTCACCTGTTCTTCCCAACAGCCCAGTGAGGGAGAATGAACAAGTGTTACTTACAAGGATACCGAGGTTCCAGAAATTAAATGATTGACTGAATTAGCAGCAGAATCAGACATGAAACCAGTTCTCCTGATTCTTCATCCAGCTATAAATAATACATATTCTCAAAATAAAAGCTCCAATAAAAATATTAGCATAGGTGGGATGGGAGGATAAAGGTGTAGAGTGGATATTAAATAAATACCTGTGGGTTGCAAGGTTTCCAACAGAGAAAGCAGAAAACCTACGGAGCCCTTTGCCAGGTGCCTGGCATTTGTAAAACTTGAGACCTTGAGAAACGAGTCAAGAACTGCACTGGGACACAAGTTGAAAATCTTGCAGGTCATGGAATTTGCAGGCGGCTGTTGGCAAATATAACCCAGAGATCTTAACTTTGGAAAGTGTCATCAGCGTTCAGAATGCTGTCAGTTAGTTGTTGAGGGCTGAGAACTGGGTAAAGGCATCTGTTGGGGTGTTTAACGTCACACCCTCCCTGGAACCACAAAATTGCCCACATCCTGGGCCTACGTACCAGGTTTTCCGCTCCAGTCTCCTGGCACCCAGCTCTGACTAACAAATCCCACAAAGGAAGAGGACCTCATGAATTTTGATGTCTATAAAAGCTGAGGTCCCTTCTTCCTTCACTTACTCTGGGATATGGAAGTTTCTCTCCCCACCCACCAAGGAAAGCTGATGTTTGGTTTGTGTTTCCTGGGAGATCTTGGATTCTGCCTCAGACCTTTATCTTGACAGGCATCTTTCTAATTGAGGACAGGGGTCCTTGCTGTGTTCTGGTCATCAGGGGCCAAAAAGCTCAATGCTGTCCAGTTTCTCCTCTTTGTAGAGCAGGATATTCTCCATCAGTTTCCTTTTGGCCTCATTAATCTCGATTTTCCACGAAGTCTCTGTAGCTGATGTTCAATGGAAAGTAAAAAACAAAAGGTCACTTGAACAAAAGGCACTTGGAGATAGGTACTATTATTCTTAGAAAGTCAGACTTGGTCAGAGTTCCTTAAGTCAGGTTTCTGAATTAGGCACTGAGTGCAATGAGCATTTTTGTCACCTTCTGCCTTTTCAGGGAAGCCATCACCTGCCCCCACCTTTCAGAAAGGAGGGGGCTCAGGGTGGCCAGTTAGCTCAGTTGGTTAGAGCGTGGTGCTAATAACACCAAGGTTGCTGGTTCAATCCCCATATGGGCCACTGAGATGCGCCCTCCTTAAGAAAAGGAAAGAAAGGAGGGGGCTTCCATGCTCCTCCCTATAGAAGAGGGGAAGGGGTAGAGTGAACACTTACACCCTCTCTCTTCCACATGGGAGGAGGAGCAATAGAAGTGGTCAGAGCCTGGGACAGTCATTGAACCGCATTTACTAGAGAACAAGGACACTGCATTGAAAAGGCCTTCCAAATTTTTATTTCAGACAGAAGCCTAGTATATTTGGACCTGAGAGGCAGAGATAGAAGTTATCTTTAGAAACAGGATGGCCTGTGTGTTGTGAAGTGAAGATGGAGAGGTGGGCAACGACAAACCACACAGAGACTGGCAGGTTTGGAGGAAGTTCTGAATTGGTCCCTAAGTGCGATGGGAGCTACACAAAAGCTTTAAGCAAGGGGGGACATGGTTTTTAAACCTGAGTTTAAAAACCACTCTGGTTGGCCCCTGGAGAAAGGACTGAGGAGAGGCCAGAGTGGATCAGGGAGGACAAAGGGAGGTTGTGCAGTCATCCAGCAAGAGGATAGTGGCTTAAATGAGGTAGGGAGGTGAGGGCAATGCAGAGAAGCAGAGGATATTTAGGTCAATGGATAGGACTGGGTGATGGACTGGACACAGAGGGGCCCAAAGGGAGAGGGAGCTGTCAAAGTGGCACCCCTAGGTTTCTCTTTGTGCAGTCAGCCAGTATATGAACAGCTGAATAACCAAATGGCCACGAAATGGAGGGAGATAGAAGGAATAAATGATGGGCTGATTTAGGGATACATAAATGAGTGTGTATATGTATTCAGATCCCCACACACTTACCATCCTGGGGAGGCTCAGTACTGGCACAGGCCTCAGTGGAGGAGTCGGCCTGCATCCTGTCTTCTCCATCCTCTGTGGAGGCAAGCGAAGTAGCAGCCCCAGACCGGGGTGTTGCCCTAATGGAGGAGGAGGCATTGAGGCTGGAATTGTCTACATCGTCCGTTTCTTCTGGAGTGTTGGAGGAAGAGACTGTGCCCTCGGAAAGCCCACCCCATGGGAGCGACGTCTCCTGACCTCTGAGCCGCTCTTCCACAGTGGCCACAGAGTCACACACCTTGGGGAGAAGAGAAACAAGAGCATTCACCAGGAATCCTTTCTGAAATACAAAATCTAACAGGTCTCTCAGGCCTCTGGAGAGACAGACACCAAAGAATTAAATGCTTGTTGTTTTGTCTAGAAGAACAGCACACTACCTTTAAAAAGAACTGAACTTTCCCCCCCCCCACCCCGCAACCCTAGCCATAGATGACACTACAAGACCAAGATGGGCCAATCATAGTATCGCATTCCTCTGACCTTACTATTGGTCCAGGTTTAGGCACATGACCCAAGCAGGCCAATCAAAATCCTTCTCTGGTATTTTTCCACCTAAAGCTTGTTGAGTAAAGACTCCCCCTTTCCTTTCTATTGGCAGAGCCAGACTCCTCACCACACACAGAAATCCCATTTACAGTAGGTGAAAATGAAGCCCCAACACAGAGTAAAGCAGAGGCAAGAGATGGAGAGAGAGCCACAGGCACAGGCACAGATAGCTCCACCTTTAAGGTTGAGAAACTGCATCTATTGTAGCTGCTCTAGCAATGCCTGTCCTGTCTGCTGTTTGGTTAAATGAACCAATAAATTCATTCATTCATTCATTCACTCATTGATATTCTACTCCCATATCTATCTCTCTCTCTCTCTCTCTCTCTCTCTCTCTCTCTCTTTCTCTCTGTCTCTCTCTGTAAGAGCTTGAGTTGAGTTTCTATCACTTTCAACTAGAAATGCCCTAAGTAATATAGATATTGTCCTTGAGAGCTTTTCTGGTTAGGGAGGTTAGGAAAATTGGAGGAAGGCAGGGAAGGAATGTTTCTTCTTTATACACACACACACATTTACATACAAAGGGCATAATACATACATACTCTTAATAACAATAACAAATCTCATTTGCTCGGTGCCTTGCAATTTACAAAGCACATTTGACACATGATGCAAAATGAATTTTTAATACATAAGAAATTAAAAGATCAAAGAGGTTAAGTTCCCTGCCTAAGGCCACCCAGCTCATGAATAGCAGAGCTGACCAATGAACCCAGTCCTGTTTGTCTTAAAGTCCATGACCCAGTTGCTCTCTCTTCTTAGGTTGGCTGTAAAATACTAGGGGCAAGGACCATTCTTCATTCCTCTTTCTATACCTCAAGTGCTCTATCCCCTTTATTGTACATAGCAAATGCCTCTTCATCCTTCAAGGCCCAGTTCAAATGTCACCTCTCGAGATAAATGTTCACAGTGCATGCCCAATAAATATTTGCCAAGCTTAAGACGCTATTCCCTTATAACTAGGTGTGGCCATGTAACTAGGTTCTGGCATATAAGGTGTGAGAAAAACTGATGTGCACATTTCCAGGTCACACCTTTAAAAGAAAGAGGGTGTGTTCTCCTCTTTCTTTTAACCCCCTTTCAGTGGCTGGCATGCAGATATGATGACCTAAGCTAGAGAAGCTATCTTGGACTCTGAAATGGAAGCCACATGGTAAGGAGAGCAGAGCAACAATATAGGAGCCTGGGTCCCCAATACTGTGACACTGCCACATCAGCTCTGGACTGCCTATATCAAACTGTGAAGCTAAGGAGGATAATCTGCTGTCTCGTTTAAACCACTGTAGCTTGGAGTCTCTTCATTATAGTAGCTTCTTCCAGAGTACTTTAACTGATACACTGAACAAAAGAATGAAATGAATGAAGGAACGAATGCTGAAATGGAAGAATAAGTGGTTGAGAGAGAAAGATCATTTTAGAATGCAAATCTGATTATGTCCTGCCCCTGCTTAAAATGCCCAGTGACTTCCTCAAAATCCTGACTGTGCCTGCACAGCCCTCTATTTTTGGGCTCCTCCTTCCTCAGCAGCCTCATCACAAGCCACTTTGCCCCAACGTACTTTGTTTTCCAGACACTCTGACCTTTTTCCAAGCCCTTGACCACGCAAACCTCTCTCTCAACTCAGAACATTTGCATAAGCTGTTCCTTCTGCTTAGTTCTTCATCAGCTTACACATCACTTCCTCCGGAAGTCCTCCTGGGTGGGGCCTCCGTCATACACTATCCCAGCACTCACCACAGTCTATTACTGTGCAATGTCTGTGAGCTCTAGGAAAGTGAAACTGGCCTGGCTTGTTCACTGATATATCCCCAGAGCCCAGCATACAATTGCTGAAGGAATGACTGGACCCTGTGGCATTTGGACATAGGAGAATAGCCCAGGCTTAGAACAATAACTCAAGTTGCAAGAGAGTAGATATTGGGCTGAACCAGAAGTCCAGAGATCTCTGATAGAAACTCACTCTGTGGTCCCATCTTCTCCTCTCTCTTTTACTTACCCATCTATAAAACGGGAGGCTTGGACTATAGCAGTGGTGTTTGAAGACTTTTTTCAGCTACCAAACCCTTTCCTCAAATAAAATACTGAGAACCCAATATAATTATAAGAAGTGAAAGTGGTGTGTGGTTGAAGTTATGGGTGGGGCCTATAGCTCCCCATAGCCCTCTTGCTGCCAAAAGCAACTCCTGACATACTTTCAAGGAGTCCCTTTTTGCCAGACACGAAAATCACTCAGCTACATGATCTCTGAGTTCTCTTGGGTGATAATTTTATCCTTAGAAAGACCTAGCATATATCCTGTCCCTAGGAAAATGTTTTATCCCGTGGTGTTTGATTTCTAGGGTGTCTGCCTAGCCACGGGCTGTGGATGCTCAATTTCTCTAGGACCTGGCCCTTGCACCGTCAGGAGTTGATCTACTGACTGCCAGGTTTATATACTGAACCACCCCCCCCTCCCATCTTACCTGATTGGCCAACAGATAGACAACTGACCCTAGGTAGGCCAATCAGGTTCTCTCACTGAAAGACTTGGTCTTTCAGTAGGGGTAGAGCTATAACTTGTAAATGAATATGGCTATAGTCCCTTACCAAGAAGATGAAAGAAAAGAAAAAGGGGGCCTCCAGAGAGAAGAGGAGGAATAAGGCAGATTCAGAGAAAGCATAGTTCTGTTAACATCCAAGGGTGCAGTCCTGGGCCCCTGAGGCCAACAGCATACCGCCCTCAGGCACCTAAGACACTCTTACCCACATACTTCCCTGTTTTGCTGACAGGACCTCCAACACATTCTGCTACTTGAACCCAAATAGGGCCCTGGTTTATGAGATCACTTCTCGGTGAAGGGATCGACCCTGAGTCTTAACCCAGTCCCTGGTAAAGCAGACCCATGCGACCCCCGGAAGTGAGGCCAAACTGACCCAGTACAGGGCTCGTCACTGGAGAACAGCTTAGAGTCAAGCTCACCTCCGCCAAGCTGGCATTCCGCCTCCGCAAGCAGAGGCAGGCAGTCATGGCCAAGGCCTCGGCGCAATCCTCTGGCAGCCTCCCTGCTCTCTTATCCAGGTATTTCTGGCAGATCTCCCTGGCCATCACTTTCTCCATGTCCATCTTCCTGGAGCACAGCGAGGTGGTGCTGCTTGGAATTTCACTGAGGAGTAAATCCTTCTGTGGGAAGAAGAGTGGAGACACCCCTGAGTGAGCTGCAAGGGTGTGGGATCCAACCACACCTGACCCACCCACCTCCATGACTGCACCAGAGCTGCACAAACTTCTCAGAAAACCAACAGGATTTTTAAAAAGAAATGCAAGGATCCCAGAAACAAGCAAAACATCCAAGAACTGGAGGATTGCTAAATTCCCAACATACACAGGGCATTTCATTGTACACTCAAAAAGTACCATAAATGCAGTGGCTTAACCTTTCTAGGTAGGCCTCAGTTGCTTCATCAGGAAAATGGGGATAATAGGACTAACAAAAAGATTAAATGACATAATACATCTAAAGTATAAAGTATGATAACTTGATACAGAGTAAACATTCAATAGTCTATTAGTGGTAATAATTAACAGTAATAATAGCTATCATTTATATAGTGCTTACTACATGCTGAGAAATTTACTTACATTAATAATTTAACCTTATTAACAATTACAGGCACAATCTCTTATGATATAAAATAAACATTTTAGGATGTAGAATTCTGACATATATATATATATATATATATATATATATATATATATTTTTTTTTTTAAAGATTTTATTGGGGAATTGGGGGGAGGGAACAGCGTTGGGGAATCAGAAAGAGGAACAGACAAGTTGCTGTCCTTTTGTTCTTCAGTCTAGTTGTGGAGGATGCCACCCCACTGGCCCACATTGGCATTATCATTGCATTCTTCCCAGGTGAGGTAGATAGTTTGCCAGCCACTGGACGGTCGCTCACGGCGTTTCATGGCAGCTCATGCCAGCTGCGGGCCACTCACGCCAGCTGCCAGCCACCCACAGCAGCTCATGGCAGCCCACTGCAGCCCCCCTGCAGCCCACGCCGTCACCAGCGACTCCCGGCAGCCCAGCCCCAGATCGAGCTGTTGTTCACCATCCTAGCTGTAGAGGGCGCAGCGTCACTGGCCCTAATGTGGGATCTGAACCAGGAACCTGCCGCTCAGAGTCGGTGCTCCCAAGCCAACTATTAACCAACGTGCCACATGGCCGGCCCCTGACCCATGTATATTTAATCGGAGAAATTAGATCTGGAGTTGCCAGGGGCTGGAAGTAGGGAAGGGGGACTGACTATAAAGGGGCCCAAGGGACTTTTCTAGAATGATGGAAATTTTCCATATCTTGATTGGGCTGGTAGTTACATGACTGTCTACATTTGTCAAAACTCATACCATTCTGGGGCCGGCCGAGTGGCGCGATGGTTAAGAACTGGCTTGGGACGCCAGAGGGCCCCGGTTCGGATCCCACATATGAGGGCCAGTGACACTGCCCTCCACAGCTAAGATGCTGAACAACAGCTCAACCTGGAGCTGGGCTGCCATGAGTTGCTGGCGACGGCGTAGGCTGCAGCCCCTGTGGCAGTGGGTTGCCATGGGCTACCGTGTGTAGCCAGCAGCCAGTGTGAACGGCCAGCAGTCGCAGTGAGCGGCCGTCCAGAAGCCAGCGACTGATCTGCCTCACCTGGGAAGAGCACAATGATGATGCCAACTTGGGCCAGTGAAGCAACGTCCGTCACAACTAAACTGAAGAACAAAACGACAGCAACTTGTCTGTTCCCCTTCCCCTAATTCCCCAGCACTGTTCCCATCCCCCCAATTCCCCAATAAAAATCTTTTAAAAAAAAACTCATACCATTCTGTACACCTCAAAAGTATTAATTATACCTCAACAGAAATGCATACATATGTCCATAATGAGGCCCACACAGAGATACCTAGCAGTTTTATTTGTAATACTCAAAACCTGGAAATACCCCAAATGTCCATCAATAGGTGAAGGGACAAACGGTGGCATATCCATGCAATGGGACACCACTCAGCAACAAAATAAGCCACTGACACACACAAAGAGCTTGGCTGTATCTCAGAATAACTATGCTGAGTGGAAAAAGCCAGACAACAAAAGAGCACACACTGTATGACTTAATTTATATGAAATTCCAGAAAATGGAAACTTTTGTACAGTGACAGAAAGCAGATCAGTGGCTGCAGGGGACGGCAGGGGCAAGGAGGGATGTGAGGAGGGGCTTCAAAGGAGAAGAGATAACTTCTGGGGTAGTAGGCATGTTCATTATCATGATTTGGTGATAATGTCATAGATATATACATGTCAAAATTTATTATATCATATGCTTTATCCTCATTATTTATAAATATTGATAAACTTATATTCATGCAGATGTTTTCAGATGTTTATAAATAACTTCATGGTATTCCATGGTGTGTATGATTATATTGTAACCTCATTAACCGCCTCTCAAATGATAGATATTTATTTCAGTTGTTTGAAGTGCTTCACTATCAAATAACGCTACAACAAACATCCTTGTTCACCTGTCTTTCCTCATTTGTGTGTGTATTTCCCTAGTGTACAAGTGAAACTGCTGTATCAGAGGGTACACACATCTTAAATTTTGATGAAAACCACTCAGTTTCCTCCAAAAACATTGTGGCTACAAACACTCCCCCAAGCACAGAAGAGGGGTCTGCTTCCTCCTGCCCTAGACCATACTAGGTGTCAGCAGCTTTCATCTCTGACTCAAATCTTGATTACACATGCGCAATCTTAATTGTGCATGTACCACAACAAGAGATGATGAGAGAACATATTTGGGTCTAGAAGAGAAAGAAACTAGATTTTTAAGAAGTGATATCCTTCACATTTTTAGAAACCATTAGCAAAAAGAACCTTCTAGCAAATTTCATAAAAGTGTCTGGAAAGCCTCCTTCTCAAGTGACATTCACCCAGGGAGCCCCAGCAAACCGCTGGGGAATGTAGTTCAAAAAGATGTTTCTTGTGTCAGGAGATGAAAAACTGCCCCAAACCATCCAAACCACATCCAAGCTGCCCAAATCGACTTCTTTGCAATATCTGGGGATCAGAGCCCAAAAGGAGTGGGGCTCAGGGAGTTCAGCACAGGGACAAGTTGTGACTTTCTGTGTGTAGGGGAGGCCTTCAGCTCTCCACCCAAATGCTCAGGGAATGCTTTTGAAGACCCAGTCATAAAAAAGCCAGCTGCTCTAATGGCCTCAGCAAGTCAGAAAAGAAGCTCCCCTCTCAAACAGATGAGGAGGACCAGAGCTTGCACAGAATCTGGAACTCTGCAGAAGACATGGGTTCAAATCCCAACTGAGCTCACTGAAGGGGACAAGACAAGTCTCTTCACCTTGGCCTTAGTTTTCTCATATGTAAAATGGGGATGATGATAATAGAGGTTGGACTGCAGTGAGAATTAAACAGTCAGGAGAGTGTTGGGGTTGGGAACTCAGGATCTACAGTCCAGAAGACCTGACTCAGAATTATAGCTCTGGGGTGACCGGTTAGCTCAGTTGGTTGGAGCATGGTGCTAATGGCACCAGAGTTGCTGGTTCGGTCACCGCATGAACCACTGTGAGCTGTGCCCTCCCTAGAAGAGTCAACTATGCCATTGTAGCATAAAAGCAATAGGGTAACCAATGACCATGGCTGTTCCGCCAATAAAAATTATTTTTAAAAAAAGTAAGAATTACAGCTCTAACACTTAGTGTAGCTGAGATCTCAGGCAAATCTCCAAATCTGCTTTCCTCATCTATAGATGAACAACATAATGTCTCTATCAATCTCATAGGGATTTTAAGATGATTTAGAAAGATAATTTAGGGGAAGTGCCAAACACAGAGTCAAGCTGTGTTGTTGTGTTGTTTTTTTTTAATTGGGGAATTGGGAGAGTGGAACAGCATTGGGGAATAGGGGAAGGGGAACAGACAAGTTGCTGTCCTTTTGTTCTTCAGTCTAGTCGTGGAAGAAGTCACTTCACTGGCCCATGTTGGCATTATCACTGCGCTCTTGCCGGCTGAGGCAGTCGCTCGCCAGCCATTGGATGGCCGCTCACGGCAGCTCATGAAAGCTCAC